AGCCTTAGTTATGTAACATAGCTACGCCAATTGATTGATTATAGTTGACTATTTTTGATCGATTCAATCCATCCGGGACCAGCCAGTTCGAAATAAGCACATTCTATTTCGCTATTATCACATAAAACACCATTGTTGTGATATTAGACAATGTGCCTATTTCGAGGATAAACGTGATATCAAATAGTAACGGTAATAGTAATGTTCTGACCCAAATCGTCAATTCGCAATAAGCACAGAACTTTATCTGTACAATATCACTATAATGTAACTATGTGATAACATCGAAATAAATATCGGTCAATTGCGAATTGGGTCAAGTTCCACATTCATATATTAATATGTTCTTCCTATTCCTTCAAATGTCTTAATGATTATAAGTTTACTGACTCTCGCTATAAGCAGAGAGGGTTTCCACAACACATACATGATAATAACAAGTGTTAACATTGCATAACAATCTTTATCGTCGAATGTTGGCCTTTTTTTTTTCAAGCGGAATTAAATCGATTCAATATCAGGATATCGGCACTTGTTTCCAGACATCTAGCGTGCGCAGCATTTATGCGTTTCCTTATATGAGACGTTACTGTCCACTACACGAATGGCCTGGTTTCCAAATTTGTCTTCGAAACTCTTTGATGCGCCCTTCGGTGAATAGAAATCGAACACATACTACGAGAAATAGGATGTAACCTAAAGGCTGTCTTAAATGACTCCATTAGTATATACTACACTATTGTTGTTACAAATATATAACAGAGTTTTGTGCAACTCGCAGACAAATGTCCAAAATGCAACGGTACACAAGTTACCCTACACAAAGAAACGCCTTACTAGTATGAAACAATGATGGAGACATCTACAATGGACCAGAACAGATATAAGCGAAGTATCTGTGTCATTTAAACCTGCTGCTTGTAAATCAGCCCGAAAACTCGTTCTCTTCGCACATTATATTCCCAACTCCCCACTCTGGCTCTCGCGTTTCATTTTACAGGCAATACCAGAATCTCTTTATTGGTATAGAAACATATCTACATAATCTGCTAGAGACCTGTAATTCGCCTTTTGCTGTATATTGTGTGTATTATATCAATACAACATTATCATAAAGCTAATATGGAGTGGGGGTGCAAATGTACTCGCTGTAACAATCCTCGTTGGGAAGAAAGCTGGGGTCTTTCTCATTTCGACGAACAAAACCTCGCGTTGCGCTTGTGCGAATTATTTTTGCAAGCTGTGCAGAATGGACAGGATACATTAAAAGTTTTCTACAACACAAAGTCGTTATGCCATCAGGATACTTGGAGTGTTCGGATTCACGACACTTTACGGACTTTCCACTCGGACTTTGTTTCTGTAGAACATAACTCCTCGACATCTACCTACGTCTACAAGTGGAAAGCCGAAATAGCTTCAAGTCTAATAGGTTATACGCTCGACGTTGCTAGCGTTAAAATGACATCACTACTAAACACATTCTCTGAACAACAAAAAATTGCTGTCTTGAAACTAAAGAAACTTGTTGACGAGCCTTTATCAAGCAGAAATGCAGAATTGGCGCTGATGACAGATGTAATCAGAAATATGAAGAAATGGTTCTATGGATTTGATTTTGTTTATGATGTTGATCTACAGACTGAAGACAAACAAGATATCAATGAAAAGGGTTGCATAGGGCTTTTAGTTCTTGCTTCCAGAATTGGCATATTGGTAGTTATTGAGGTTAGGCGATCAACCGGGGACAACAACCATAGAATAAATTCAAAGGAACACGCAAAAATGCTTAAGGCTAAGATAACAGACAGATATTCTACTAAATGTATCACTACAATTGGTGCTCATTTCACTAGCGAGATGGATCAACCAGAATTCCTGAGTAAACAGGATAGGATGATAGCTCAGTCTGTTTCCAAGTATCATGCGTTGAATATATCGACTGATGACTCTGGAAAACAACCCAGTAAGACTTTTCCCTATATTTTTTGCTCATATATCTTATTGCTTCCTTTTTATTGACGAGATTTTTCTTCTTTATTCATATTCGCAATGCGTGTAGAAGAGTCCAAAGCCGCGATGCGTCGTTCATGGAAAAAAGATTCTCCAAACAAACGCGCCAGACGTACGCAGATTGTTACGACACTGAATTCACTGTCTGCTCCTCGTGTGCTGGCGCAAGGTGTTTATGAATCTGCTCGGCATAAATTTTGGAAAGTTGTGCAATGTTATAAACTGACAGCTACGATTATAGGGCATGCTATTGTATTTACAGTACTTGCTGCAATAGTACTTTTGATGCGCAGTACTGCCCATACGCCTAGCGTATCGTCATCAGAGTTTATTAATTCATTATAATGACGCAATAATCAGAGCAAGCATGTTCAGTTGTATAGCGAAGGTCATGATGATATTACTGGGGATTCTGTTCGTTTGAGCAGAAAACGGTTATGTTTTGGTCGTAATTCATTCACTATGAAAGTACCACGACATCTTTGCGGTGTTAGGGTTTGGCACAGAATAGCAACGAATTCATTAATTAAAAATCAATATACTTATATATATAGAGGGAAGGAAGGGGTAAAGGGCAAGAGCGACAAGGATAGTTTGAGTGTTTTATCTACACTGCTCAAACGGATCCGTAAGATAATTAACACAAAACGAGGGTTATGGCCGACAGAGATCAGTTTTCAGTGAATTCGGTCTCTGTTGAATAACATGTAATAAATAATACAATCATATTCCTAATTTCGATATCAGTATACTGGTGGTACACGTGTTCTAATTATAGTACATTTAGTCGTATTTATAAACGTGCATCGAACGATATTTATGGCACCCTTCAGCTATTTTGAGGATGCTGTGGACTTTTGTAATACATTAACTTGCGGTAATAGTTATACGTATTGTTGTAGGTAAGTATCATTCACCTTAACGTGTTTTTCAGTAAAATGTGCTATTTCGGTAAATAATTGCCAATACATAGACGTGATAATAAGACTTCAGGACTAATTCCACAGAATGTGTATTGCTACAGAATTTTTTTTTCAACCGTAAGTTTCGGACAAAATCTAAATAGTTTCACTATCCTTTTAAATCTTTTGACAAATGCATGTTTTGTATACACTTAGCAAATGTCTAATTTCTGTATATGCTATGCAAGCCACAACAATGACTTGCAGCTTCTCTAAGTGCAGGCACTATATTTTTCCCTCCTAAATACAGGTCTCTAGATTATAAGACCATTAAGTATTTCACCCTATAAATGCAGATTCTCTGTGTGGTCATATGCTCCTGTCGGTGCTGCACTAGGGAGAGTCCGCTGTAATTTGTTTAATACGATTTCACATCCCCAATATTTTCATGTGAAAGATACTTGGAAAAATTGATTATAACTGGTGATAATAATAAGAACAGTAACACGAGCGTAACCACTGGTTTGCAAAGTAGCCTACGTCCCAATCCAATTGCAATTCATTGAGAGAATAGTTCAACTGAGAGATTACCGAACCTTAGATCAAGATCGAGAATTCACTATTATCGTTGACGAAAACCTCAATACATAATGCAATAGCCAAAAGTGGATACATTTTCTCCTATTGCTGATATTAATGTTCTGACCCAAATCGTAAATTGACCCAATTCGCAATAAGCACAAAGTGATGCTCTGGCCACTTACGATTTGGGTCAGAACATTAATATACAGTGAAACTTGTCGGGTTGGCATAACTCTCTGTGTCCGGCCGGAACCGACATGGAAAGTTTATGAGAGATGCCGGTATAAGCAAAGAATTTTCACATGAAACGAACTGGTGTGCAAGAGAGATTCTGGTACCGATATAAACAGAATTGACTGTACATTGTTGCGATATGTTATACCAAGGGTCACGTTTCGATAGAATTGTAATTTAGTTTCTCCCCTTAATGTTATACTAATGAATGGGTATTTGCTGGCTATTAATGCCTGTAGAGACACTTTTTAAGTCCACGTCAATTACTGTTGAGAAATAAAAAAGTTTTGCTAACAAGTTGAATACAAGTATTCGCGAAATTATGTATCGGAATCGGGTTATTGCTAAGTATATTTATTGATCAATAAGCAATTGTATGATGGGAAGAAGACAAGTGGCACGAGCTTTTCGATAATAAAAGGATCATAAATAACAACAACAGCGCATATACAACATCCTTCACAAGTCTTTGAGGCCAGCAAATCCTATCTTGCAGTTCAGAAGTTTCCTCATCTTTTCTCACGTCTTCCGTTATCGTGTAATCGCATCCATTCATTGGATCTGGAATAAAGGACAAAAGGCTAAGAACATATACCGGACATAACCATTCCCGATAATAACAAAATAAACTCATCGTAGGAATTAAGTCAATGCTATACCGTATGTTTCCCTCCATTGATCTAGCATAATAGGAGAGAAAGTTTCGGATCCAATTGCGGTGCCGCCATCAGTTTCTCCAACGGACGAAAATATTTGATGGTCCTCCTTGGTATAAAATATTGGATATTTATCATAGTTCGTATAAGTAGCTCCAATAACAGCGGTAATTAGGCTTCCATGTGATTCCCTAAATCTACCTACAGATTGGATCATTCGTGTTCTCATTTGTCGTTTCGTTTTGCGAAGGTATGTATCACTTTCAGTACCAAAGGCGAGATATTTCACCTCGATTATGACAAATACACCGGAATCAGAGCCCATAATCAACCGCCCTCCGGAATCAGTATGTCCAACTGTTTGCTCCCATTCACATTCGTATAGCCATCTGAAGCCAGGTAACCGTACTTCACGATGTTTCACTAAATCACATATCAATGCTAATAATATCATGCTTGCATTTCCTTTATCGAGAACGCTGGAGAGTCCACCTCTCAGTTTCTTCATACAAGAATCATGACGCTCTTCCAAAATTCCTTTTATTGGTTCGTATAAAGGAAATGCCCGGATCAATATATGTTGAATAACACAAACAATGTTTTTTGGATGCCATGTATAAACGTATATGGGTGCATCTTGATACGATGTAACGTTAATGTAGTCTTTTGGGTATCTTGTGAGACTTTTAAATAACACGTCTCCTCCAGTGTCTTGATGAAAAAGAAATTCTTTATGGACCTCAAATTTGAATGTTGTCTTTCCGTCTTGTATGGTGCGTAGAAATAATTCGTAGACACGTAAGTTTATATTATGAAAGTCACACAGAGTTGTTCGTTCCCATTTGGGCCAGTCAGTAGGGTTATTACATTTACAACATTTGCAAGACCAAGCTTTCGTGGACCTTGAGTAGGATTCTGGTATTTGTTTCCGTGGATTGAATCGGACGGCCTTCATTTGTATGGGGGATATATGATGTGACGCGACCTAAGTATCAAATGATCAACAGAAATGTATGTTTCACTATAATCAGGTGAATAACCTATCACAAACTTAGTTCTCATCATTATTATGCTTATCAATACAGTCGCACCTCGATATAGTCACTCTCGACATAGTCACATTTGCGATATAGTCACATTTTGAAATTTACCGACTCATTTTATATGAAATTTACCTCTACTTAGTCACATTTAGGTAATAGTCACTATCACACCATTTCAATTACCAATATATATCACCATTATATGATCTGCCCTTGAATTAGTCACAAAATCACATGACTATCTGATGATCTACCAGTAATAACCCGTTTCAATTCCAGTTGCTTGACTCATTTATCTTGTGTTCTTTGCAATGCCACGTTCAACTAAAAAACCACGCTGTCGTGTCAATAATGCTCAGCGAAAAGAAATTTGTGAATATTCTCAAAAATATCCCTTAGCCAAACACCAAGAAATTTCCGAAGAGTTTACGAGACAATATCCTATGTTGAAACTTGACTGGTCAACAATATCTAAAAAAGGAGCAGTATCTGTTACTTGAAGACAATTCTGTACTGCAAAATCGTTATGCTAACCGAAGTTTAAAACACCCAGAACTCGAAATGGCAATGAATCTTTGGGTGAGTCAAGTTACAACTGCTGGTTTGATTCTGACAGATGAGTTATTGAAACTAAAAGGTCGTGAGTTTGCACAACATCTCAATGTTTCTGCCGATGAGATAAAGTTTTCAAATGGATGGATTGCAAATTTTAAAAAACGAAACTCTCTACGTCGGTATAAGCTTCATGGGGAAGCCTTAAGCGGGCCATTAGAATCTTTACCTGGTGAAAGAATTAAGCTTCAAGAACTCTTATCCCAATATGAATCAGATGATATCTATAACGCCGATGAAACTGGATTGTTTTATCGGATGTTACCACACTAAACATTGGCAAGACAAGCTACTGCGGGCAAAAAACAAGTAAGAAATTTTAGTCTTATTTATTCTGGCTTAAATTAAATCCAAATTATGCTTTTGCAGGACAAATCACGACTTACTGTGTTACTGGCTTCGAATGCAACTGGTACTCACAAACTCCGGCCACTTGTTATTGAACACTCAAAAAACCTCGATGTTTTAATGGTTTGAATTTATCTCGACTTCCAGTTATCTATAAAAGCAACTCACGTGCATGGATGCGAGCTGATATTTGGGAAAATTGGCTGCGTTATCTTGATGTTGGTTTCCGTATTCAAAATCGAAAAGTCTTGTTGCTCGTCGACAATGCCCCATCTCACATTATTAATATGGCTTTTCTTCATGATAATTCCGATGATGAAACAGTAGATAATACTAATATTGATTCATTTAAGCTTACAAGCATAACAGTGCATTACCTGCCGCCTAATACAACAGCACATATCCAGCCGATGGATGCAGGCATAATCAAGCCGTTCAAATCGAAATATAAACACCTTTACTGCAAGCATATTCTCAAACAGTTTGAGAATAACATCAACTTAGAAAGGTAGAATATAATTTTTATAGTTCGTTGTTTTGCAGACTGATTTGACAAATTTTTTTTTAGTAACAAGCTGAATGTAAAGGAAGCGATCGATTTTATCGCAGAAGCATGGGATAATGTGAGTAGTATGACTATTAATAACTGTTGGCACAAGACAGGAATTCTTCTAGGTGCATCTGATTCTGAAGCAACAGATCAATGTCTCGATGATATTAGAATTGATGATGAGATCGCTACTATTATTTCCAATTTTCCATCGCATGATGATTCAAATGCTCTTGGAATTGCCTTGACTATGGAAAGATATGTTCAATCAATTAATGATCCAATTGCCACAGAAGGCATACTTAGTGATCAAGATATAATTGGTTTTGTTGTGAGTAAAACAGCTGAAGACGAAAGCGATGAGGACGAAGCGCCTCCTCCTCCACTTGTAACAGTTAAGGAAGTACATAGCGCAATGCAAACGGTTCTTCGTTTTGAAGAGCAGGCTAACTC